ACTTTTTAGTTCATTTGCTGTTATAATGCTGATACAGATACTGTCTGCAGCTTTATCAGCAAACCGTTAATACCAGCAAACATATCAGCCTCATATTTCAGGCTCTACTATTATTTTTATAAAGTTTCTTATATCTGAAACCAGGAAAGACGCCTTGATCATGAAAACACAGGAGAATCTGATGGATTCATGATGGTGCTGAGAATGAGTCAAGAATAAAAATAAAGAGCTCAAACATGAACGTTTGATATAAGATCCTGTTTCAGGAGAAAATAAAACAGAGATTTGACACTAGTGGGAAACTTTAGACCCTCCTACTGTCCACACCAAGCTCCAAGGACTCTTCTGTTTTCTGGAGACCTGACTGATCATCAGGCAGTGGCCTCATCATCTCTTACTGAGGTGATTTACCTCAGATGCTTCAGTAATACTGAACACCAGGTTCACCCTGTCATGTTGGTTTGCAGTTCTTCCTCCCTCCTGCTGTTTAATGGTGGTTGCTAAGCAGCACCTTGGTGACAGTAGTACAGCATTAACTCCACCAGGTGATTTGATCTGGTTGTGTGATTAATCAGAGTAGATTGCAAATAATCTTTGAGAGCTTTGATGTAGCTCAACTCAGTGGTGGGCACATAAAGAGCAAAGCTGTGGCTCCTCAGAGGTTCAACACTTTCTCTTCTATAAGGTTTGCAGCGCTGCAGGGTCACACTCCACTGATGCCCGAGAGTCAAAGTTCATACCTGAAGCCTGCACAGAGCTGGTGAAGCAAACCCAGAAGAGGAGCAGGAGGGGAAGTAAGACTCGATAGCAGACAGGAAGTCTGGAGATGAAGTTAGAAGGACTGTGAGATTTTAACCCTCTGCTCGTTATCAGGTGTCAACTGGCTGCTGAGTCAGTAACCTCACATCATGCTGCTTTTAGAAACAGCCTGCACATGCACACTGGGTACAGAAGTATAGATACTTATTTTTACCTTTTTAACTCGTGAATTTAACACTTTGCTTAAAATGTACGCACGCTGTTGATTAGTGTTAGCATCGGTTCAGCGTTGCTGCTGTATTATAGGTAATTATAAGAGGAAGCTTGTTTAATTAAAAGCAGAGGGGAACTTAGAACTTCTTCTTTTATGAACGTCATAACTACTCCTGTTCTTTGTGTTTGCGACGGCTGTGGGAGTTTTAGAGTTTGCTTCAGGCCTCGACGTGTCTGTGCTCGCTCAGCGTTTGCAAGAGTCAAACGCTCATCTAGAGTCAGCCGAGCACACAGCACAGGTATGTTTGTGCGTCTGAAGGTCATGTAAGGGTTGTGTATCTTTCCTTTGTGCAGCCAAGCACCTGAAGTGTTTCTATGACCACCAGCGTCACCTGCCTGACGGAGGATGTGATGCAAACAGTTACTATGGAGACATTTGTTTCCCATGAACATGAATCTCTGTGGATTCCTTCTGGTTTCACTGAGACTCGTTTTATATACACATGAACACCTTTCTCTGCTCGTTCAACTTCAGTTTTTATCAAGAAAGTTGTATTTAGCAGTTTGTGCTGACTGGTACAAACCTCACAGAGTCTTTGTGTGTTATTGTTTCCATGTGCTTTCATTTTCTAGCATTCAGTTCAAATCTATAGCTCCAGGCAGCAGCAGCTGTCCTCTCATAGAGATTTCTAAACTAAAGACGCCACAGGATTGTAAAGAGAGCTGTGATGGTCAGAAAAGCCAGCAGAGGTGTGTCTGGTGTGGTTTACTTTGTAACAGGATGGACTTCCCACAGTTTTCCCCATTTTCCAGCAAATCTTTGCTGTCCTGGTTTCCAGCTTTGCTACGGTGCGATTTTTGACAGTTTATTCCTGCTTCCTCTTTTTTCTCCTCTGGATCATAAATCATCAGAAGCATTTTATTGCCTCCATGCGTCCATGACCTGATTATTTTCTGTTCTTTCACTTTTTCTTGTCAGTTTGTGCTTTTAAAGTGTGTCAGTTTAAATTTAACTTCAGCTTTGTATGTTTTGCAGGCTCCGCAGGCACACAGGAAGAGGTCCAATATAGTGAAATACAAATAAGCAACAACAGACAGGTTGGTGACGTTTCACTGAGAAACTCTATCATTAGCAGCTCTGTCTCCAGGGCCGATGTCATCATGTGTCTGTTAGCAAACATGCTGTGTTTGTTCTCACCAGTTCCTGGAAACTGAATGCAAATAGCACCTGCAGCACACAAAGGCTCAGGTGTGCACAGGTCATCTGCCAATCAGAAGGCTGGTGGTTCAATCCCTGGGGGTGTGGGTGTGTGTGTGTGTGTGTGTGTGTGTGTGTGTGTGTGTGTG